GGATACGACTTCACTTGTCACTGACATGACGTTCCATGATGTTTAGATACTTGTACACAGTGAGGACAGAGAAGTCATGAAGTAGCTGCGGAATGTTATAGTCAGCACCTCCAACGGTGGCTCTGCCAATTTTTCCCCACGTTCTAAGAAGTTCTGGGTTTACACGACACCATTTTATGCGGAGTAGGATAAATGCTGTCGTATGCCTCTTATAAAACAGTAACAGTAATTACAATAAAAGTAGCTAATGCTAATCACTGTGCTTGGATGAACTCATTCACTCCTCCCATCAGCCTCACGAGAGAGGAATGCGATTATCACCCCAACTGTAGAGGTCAGGGAACCAATCCGCAAGTGGAATGGCAGCCATCCAACCCGAGGCATCCCTGCTTCTGCAGGCAGCGCGCAGCAGCCCTCGGTCTCCTCTAATGCTTTCTCCCTCAATATAATATTGGCCCCTTGACTTCTTGGTTTAAAAAAAAAAGGCTGTCTGCCGTTTCATTGTCGATATATTTAAGTGATTTTACATTACGTGGCCAGCGTCACCTCCTCTGAAAGCCTTACCTGTCTCCTCCCACAGAAAATTCCTCACTCTTCAATGCTTCGAAATACGTGATTCCATTACTGTACATCGGCTGTAACTTTTCTTCACACGAGTTACATTTCCTTTTATACTATGAACTGACTCAGTTCAGTAACAGTGAAACCACAAATAGTGGGGAAATCACCTGCGCTAACAAAACGGCTTTTGAGTTTAATCGTACAAACCAGAGAAAACCCTGAACGTGCAACGTCTAGTGTGGTCTCCCTCGGCTCCCACGCTGTAATCTGCTTACATACTCACACTACCCATTTTCAATCAGGTTTACCATCTACCGGAACTCCCAACATCACGGGAATTTGACTCCGCTTGCCAGCTGCCCCGTCCGAGAGAAGCGCACAGGGGAGGGCCGGTTGAGCACCCGGGGAAACCCCGAGGAACGAGGCCCCGCGCTTACCGCTTGCCGCGGGGGTAATGCCGCACGTACTCCCCCACGTCGTGAGCGGCAACTGCCAAGACTTGCGGGTCGTCAGACACTTCCAGAAGTTTCGTCAAAATCCTGAAATAAATTTAATCCAAAGAGAGATTGATTTCTGATCCGTCTACAGAGTGCAACAGAGCACAGGCTGAATGCCAGTATCTTCCTGAAAACAGACGTTTACAAACATGACCGTATTTTCCACAGCTTTCACTGTTACGCGCAATACATCACACGTATTTTATTACATGTACGTTAGCAGTTTTCAAATCTTTCTACGCACATGACAGGTTACTTTCAGAGTCAAAACATACACCACGCATAATTCCCCAAATATCCGAGACTCCCTCTCCTACTCTTTCGAGAAGGACGACGAGAATTTTGCGTAGATGCTGCCTTAATACACGACTACCCGTGGGTCCCTGCTCATCACACTCCGTCATCCTCCTGCCAGCGCCAGTAACCAAGCACCTTCCCGCGACCGATCAAGACGGGGCCGAGGAAACCAGGTGTTTGCGCGACCGCTGACTGCGCCCTCCTCTCCCGAATACAACGCAGCTTAACGAGAACGAGAACGAGAGCGGGGCTGTATCTGCCACTGCACCTGCCGCGCCGGGAACGGCGCTCACCACACGCCGCCGCCCGGCAAGCCCCCGCGTCCCTCGTCATCTGCGTTCAGGCAAATCCTTACGAGAATAAAAGTGCGCTTTGTTCGCCGTCTGCACGCGTCCGTGAGGCTCGCTGACTCCAGTTCCTGGAGCGCGTTTACCAGGTAAGGTCCCGGGGACTGTGGCTCAAGCCTTCCCCGCCCCTTCCTGCCAGCACCTCAGCCTGGCGACAAGCTAACTCCACAGTAAGCACCGCTGCCAACCACGGAACCGTTTCATCATGAAGTAATCACACACCTTCTCTCTTTCAGACTAAATGGGAACCCACACTTCCAAACAACAGAGGAGAAAGGAATGCACGTTCACTGCACACACGCCTGTTCCCACGTCTGTGTAAATCTGCTCCTCGTGACAACACATAAATGAGGAAACGAGACTCAGAGAAGCTAGGTAACATGCCTCAGGACACAGCAGAGTGGAAACTGAGATTTGCATCATCATCTGCTGACTGCAGCCCTCACAAAGCACAACCACACCCTGATGGCCGTTACTCAGCTCAAGCACAGAAGACCCAGTAAGAAAAAACAAGACTTACAGTCAATCTCCCATACATTTACATTTTTTAAATTTCAAAAAAGGTTCTTTTTATAAGGCCAACAGGCAAATTA